AGCAAAAAGTCCTTCCGGATGACCGTATTACCTTTTGCGTTATGAATTAATAAACTGTCTTATGCTGTTTATTAATATGACTACCATAAACGAAAGAACGAAACTGTCTACGGAGAATTTTAGCGTCTTTATTTGTAAACATAAACGAAAAGCGACAGAACATTACCTGCCCATGCAGCATAATCGGGGTAACCGCCAGCCGGCGGAGGAGGTGGATAATCGTAATTATAACAGTCGTCATAATAACCATAGCCACCGCCATATCCACCGTATCCATAGCCTGTGTAGTCACCCCAACCACCTGGCCAAGTCGGTGCCATGCTCATCTGCTTCTGCGGACGCATGTACTGCGGAACAGCGATTTTGACATCACACTGCAAACAAATCAGATAATAGAGACAACTAATTCTGTAGTTTACAAACAATCAATTTTTAAATATGTCAATAAATATAAACTTAAACAAAAAATTTAAAAATTACCATACGATCTCCAAATCTCTGCTTTGGTTCATTGGCAGCTGACTGAGCAGCATCGTCATCTTCAAAAACGATGAAAGCAAAATTCTTTCGTTTGTTTTGGAACTTATCAAATGGCCATTCGATCTCGTCCACCTTTCCAAATTTTTCGAAATGAAATCGAAGCTCCTCGAGCGAAAAATCGGACGGAAGGCCACCGACAAAAATTTTCTTGTTTTCACGGGATTTAGCGGGTTTAAGCTCGCATTTCTTCCCTTTGATTTCACAATTTTTCATTTCCAAAGCCTTTAAATTTAAGAATGCTCTTTAAGTTTAAATGACAAAGCTTGAAAAAAACGAGAAATTGAACGACGAAAGGACACCACTGAACAGTGAATGAAACTGAACTTTAGACAAACTACCAAGATCGCAGACAATATACTTAGTATGACTATACATTACGACGTCCATCTTATGAGAACAGAATGACCATGAGTGGAATTCAGACTGATTTTGCTCTGAGTGTGAAAAATATAACAGGATTACACCAGTAGTAATAAAAATACGATTTACGGTGGATACTCCAAAAGAAGGTGAGATACAAGGCGAAATGCCAGTTGTAGTTGATCATCTTGAGGAAGAATTGCTTTCATTCATCTACTTTAAATAGAACAGCGCTGCTTGCCTAATTTCAGCTTACTAACAGCGTTGACGACAGATTCCGCTGACTAATAATGATGATGATAAATGTTTCGGTTTTTTCTGACACGCTTGATCTTCATCAATACTTTTCGGCGGCTATGACCTTGCGCATAAGCTTCATTATCCTTTCAGCGCGTTTTTGACAAGTGGTTGCGCAACGGTCCATCTGAGGTATATTTCTGTGAATCATAGCCAGTGGCCCCAAACCTAATCCAGCCAAAACGGATTCAGAAAAGTACAGCACTTTATGAGATTATCATTACCAATATTACTAATCCCATACAATTAATTTACTGCTGAGCAGCTTACCTTCTTGCATCCTTCAACGGTGGCAAACTCGACGAAAGCGAAACCCCTTGAGCGACCGGTGTAGTGATCGTACTTGATCTGGACATGCAATACCTCGCCATAAGTAGAGAAGAAATTTGTCAGATCGGCTTCGTTAGTGTCCCAGCTGATGCCACCCACAAAGATTTTTCTGAAACCACTGCAAATGAATAAAAAAATGTTAAACGAATTCGAGTTTGAAAATAATTCGGGGAGCTTTTCTTCATTTACTCTAAAAACGAAAGTTACCATAAATACATTTAAATAATAAAAAAAGTCATACGTGATACGCTGTACAAAACTTCGAAACGGCTATACCAAAACGCAGAGAAACGGAATTTTGAATACAGATGATGTTTGCCATAGATATAGTTTACTCTGTTTACATGAAAAACTACATTATATGGCTACTCGAAAGAGAAAAACAAAAGAAATATAGATAAGACAAATTGAGAATGAAATTTCAATGTACTTGCTGCGAAGAAGCAGCTTGCTGGAAGCTTCCTGCTTGCTACTGTTGCTAACGTTGTCTGTCATACCGCGCTCGCGCTTCCCATATTCTTATCCAACGTCATGATCATCATCATCATCATCATCATCAGACTCGATAAACTGCAAAAGCGAGACGCGAAAACGAAACCTGTCAACCTGTAGTATCATCAAAATAGACAATACACACGAAGAACAATGAGCCTCGAGAGCAAATTCACATATCAAACACCGGCTGACCGAATACAAATAAATAAAAATATAAGCGTAAAAAGCAACAGAGAACAAATGATGAAAGCCGCAACATGAACTACTCTACTGCACCAACCAGAAACATTTTTGCATCGTCTAAGAATCAGTAAATCCTTTCTATGGCCGAAGCAGACGGGTTTTACTGAAGAATTCATTACAGCAGCTGTAAGCCCTAACCTTAGCCGTTATCAATAAGTGAACACTACAACTGAGAATGTATCGTTGTAAAATACTACAAGGAGCTGCCTGTGGACATAAGTCTACGACGTCTGTTTGGCGATGGTTAGTCAAACAAAAAAGAACACAAAACACCCTATCGCTGAGACGATGAAGAATAAAATGTCGGCATGAATATCTGAGGAAAACAGAAAATAAGGATGACAAAATATGACACCTAGAAATGAAAACAACTAGTGAATATGCTAATAAATCAGTAAAAATAACTAATAAGCAACAGTTGATGTGATTATACCAATAATTTAACAGGGTATCGACACCAAATCAGAATACATAATAATCAGATCGCATGGCACAAGTGATTAAAAGCAAAATAGTTATTCACTACGAACAAAGGTGAATATTACGGGTGGAATATTCGAACAGCAGAAGAAGAAATCCGTGCAAAAGCCATGTCGTCTTACTTTTCTTCATTCTTCTCGCCTTTTCGCGAAGAGTACTGCGTTGGTGCGCCAGCGTTTTCTCCAGATTCTGTGTTCTGCTGGCTGTAAGTCTGAGTTGGAGGATTCTGAGCATTTGCCATCGTATTTGATGAGTCGGCCATAAAATCACCGCCCACGTCTTGAGCCCACTGATTGTTCGTTGCTATAATCAACTGTAAAGTAGTCTTTCTACATCTGGGGTACGAAATTCAGTTTGTAATGTTGTGATGGTAGTAGAGGAGCCCCGCAATCAAGCCTAGCCGCAGCAAACAAGCTGAAAACAACCTAAAGTCGCTGTAAGGCCCGTGGACAGAGCGACAAATCAGGTGCAACTTAGGCAAAATGAACAGTATACACACTATATTCTTGGGAAAATAAAAAAACCCTCCTGAATATGCTCCAACAGACAAGCGGAAACGGGAATGGCATGTGAAAACCATCTCATTGACTATGCTGAGAAAATTCACCGCCTAGAAACTACGGTGTTTTAAACATGTCTTTATAATACATATCAATTTACTACACTACCCGCAGCACTCTGGAAATGTACTTTATACAAGTATTGTTCAATAAACATTCAGGTTTGCGTCTTCGACTCCTGCATGCCATTATGAGACATGCAACAGTGACTTTAACAAGTTAAGCTGAATGACAGCAAAATACGTAATATTACCGGTTTAACAAAGTATCATCACACGTTGGTCGCGAAGACGAGTTAATATCATAACAAAGCATCGACAGACTTTTAATCCAAGAAATATGGAGACTTACTCGTGCCTAATACTGCCTTTCGATCTGGATTAATCCTCGGTAAATGACAATGCAGCAGTCTTTGTCCCTATTACAGTCAAGAACACTACCAGTTGATCATTTCCTGCTAGCGAAGCAACGCCTGCTTATTTGTTATAACATTTACGTCCACCTCAGCAATTTCAAACTTTACATGCCATTGGTGCTATGATTTAATCAAATCCATATACCAGCATTTTAAAACTTACTAAATAGCACTCGAAACGTTTCGCAACCCACCAAACTGAACGTCCCACGTCTATCTTAAAGCCAAAAAATAACCGAAACACTATTATGCAGAAAAATGGTCGTACGCAGACGAGCACAAAGAGCATTAATTGGACCTAGAGCTATGTAAACAACTGAAGTTTTACAAAACAGCAGACAGACATTAGGTTGATGAACAAATATATCGTTCCTGCGCTAAGCGATTAGCGACTTTCGGCACGTCATAACCATATTTTAGAAGGCCAGCTGGCCGTGGTAAATTTTATGCTTCAATTAATGAATCACCACAAAACTATTTCAAACACTAAACGCAACTAGGTACTTAACGAACACTCAAAATTCATGTAAATTTGAATAAAAAGTCTAAAACAATTCAAAGCTACTAATTTTTTTGTGCAAGATACGGAAACGATCACGAGATTTACCTTCGGTAGTCATTCTCCGTTCGCCCGTTACTGCACAACCCGTACAACACTGAACACTCGCAGACAACCACCTACAACAATCACAAACTGCCGAATGACGTCAAACCACCGATACCTCTGACATCATTAATACCTGCAAATCAAGTGTTCAATCGGACGTTCCTACAGTATATAAATAGGTAGCTGCTCGTGCTGATCGCCATCGTCCTCATACAGTTGTTAGCGTTGGTTGGTGGTGGTCGTGCGTTGCAGTCGAAATGGCGGCGACAACGACGACAACTTCGACAATGGGCTCGACATCGGAGGAAGAGCTGCAACGTGAGATCGATCGTCTAAGCCGCGAATTGGATGAGGCAAGCCACGAGAAGATCCAGGCGGCTCAGTACGGCTTGCAAGTGCTGGAGGAGAAGCACCTGCTGCAGACACGGCTTGACGAGCTGGAAGGCCTTTACGACAGCACAAAACAGGAATTAGAGTGCGTTAAGGAGGTAGGAAGACTAGCAAATCAGTTTCTTTATTCAGTTACTGTGTCCGGTGCTATGGGAACGAGTACCAAACGGTACAAAAACATTTGCGGCATTGCAATTTAATGATTTGTCATAATCATAAATCTCTGCCTGATAAACAGTGCACTGTGATCATCTTGACAACCGTTTACATTGAAATGAAATTAAAACTTCTCTTCCTCCGTTCTCTGAGATGTAAAGATGTGATGTGGTGTGCACACTTTCGTATTGTTATTAATCTAAGTTTTCAAGGGTTTGACTACCCGCTATCGACAGTAGTGTTGTGCTTGTTGCCATTCCAGTTTTGATATTGTCCGCATCTTTTATTTATTTCTTGTCAGTTCCCTTTCATTCATTCATCATTCATTCCTATTTGTTCATTCCCTTTCGTTCAGAGGATGAATGGCATGGTTAACAGATTTTCCACTTTTTCGTCGATGACTGACGCTGACCTTGATCCTCTGTCCTTTAGATTTCTGTGTTACATAGTTCTTTTTGCTGCATTTTCGGAATGATAGCTAAAAAGTACTACAGTGCAGTACTTAAGCTTGTCAACAACAGTTTTTTTATGGTCGCATTTCTCATCATGATTTAAGAGGCAATCGTGCGGTGGATAAGTTGTTTCCTTTATACTGTAGAGATGCAAGATCTGAATCCCAGCGCGACAAAAGTTTTTTAGTGCTGCTTTCCTCGAGTTAGGTGGGTCCCCTCATTTTTGCTTTGGTGCAACTGTCCAAGAAACCAGAAGGCAGGTCCTTGACCTACGAGCAACAAGGACAGAGCGGCCTTTCGATATGTGCCACGTCTCTGTAATGTTCATGACAGCGTGCGATACGTACGGCCATGACGTCTGATGCGTTCGTCTTGAAATCTGCTTGCGATTCGCCTTGACCTACCTGATTGATGCTTAAAATTAATGCAAGATGTAAACCGGAAATTGGGACCACACATAAGGCGACCATTTTGGTACAGAAGGCAGCAAACCATACAAGAAACAGTGCTATCGCCTTGTTGATGGACGTGCCGTATTTTGGCGTTGCTACGTAGAACAATTGTATTTTCGTTGATTTCCATATGTTGATGAGCATTGACCATGTTCATGTCTGATTTCCTTATGAAGGCGTTTCATATATAAACATATCTTAGGCGTTTGCAGCAATGATTATGTTAATAGCTAGAAGAGCGTTGCTAAATATCTCGTTTTTGTTCTAATTGGTCTGGACTTCCAACTTGCTTAGCTAATAGAGTTTAGGTGAGCGAAGTAGATACCAAGGCAACGAGGTCGAAATTGAATAAGTTGGCGAACTTAGCTGTGTAGGATTGCGGTGTTTCCATAGAGATGGAGTTCGACATGAATAATCGGCGAAAGAACGTTTCGCAAGACCTCGCGAATGCACTGTCTTAAAAAAAAGCAGACACGAATGATAAACTATAAGGGAAACGACTTATATTTTCGGAGCACTTATTCACATAGTCAGTGAAGACATAAAATATAGAGGTTGGAGGCGTGAGAGTCCGAAAAGATTTTTCAGAGAGAGGCGAAAATTTTCTGAGTCAGTATTGGCCCTGAAAATTTCGTGCGTACCATGTTGTAAGTACCAGGGGCTACACTCAGTACTAAATTTTGACTTGTTCAATTAGTGACCCCTGAAGTTCAAAGTTATTTAATCCTAGAAAGCTCCTAGCTCGCATTCGAAAGGTCTTGACTTTGGACCCAGTCTAGAAACTCACCGTTCTTCCTTTAAACGTAAGTAAATTAATAATAGTCACAAAATGTTACCCCGGTGTTCTTGGGGACCTTTTCGCCGCCGATGCTTCCTTGCTTCTAGACGTCTAGTGGGACTAGTTTAGCAGGCCATGTCTAGATGGCATTTAAGCACTTGCGGTGCATGGGAAACAGGACCGCGTCTCAAAGTAGAGTGGAACAAATGTATATTCAGCCAAGATTGCCACGATCCGTAGGCGAACGTTAACTGAGAAATAGATTTTTCTTTCCTTCTACTGTGCATTTACACCGTTTCAGTCTTCCATCATTATTTTTAATCTAGATTACTAATACGTTTTTGGAATAAAGCACAGGACAGTACTCTTTGGCACCAGCATTACCTCCAGACAGATGAAAATGTAGGAGAGCAGCATTCCAACGCTTACGCGGTCTTCTTTCCACCCTTGCGGCAAAAATCCGTGATTGAGCAGTAGTGAATGCAGAAATTGAATATGATCCCGAGCACATTGAAAGAGTGAAGCGCTGAAGGAATGTAATATTTCCATAAAGATAGAGTTCGATTGGAGTAATTAGTGATAAAAGGTAGCAAATAAATAAGACTTCAGATTTTTGATTCTGGCATCATAGTTATGGGGAGGTAGATGGTTAAAAGATTCACGGTTAAGGGTACCATACACTGTAGATGATAAAGCCTTTATCGCCAACGCGTTTCACTACATACATCGTAGCATCATCAGCACTGGGTTGAGTGTAAATGGCTGCCTGAGGGCACTTAGATCGAACAAGCAAGCAAAACTCTTGTTATCCAGATGGTGTAGGCTTTAGCACAAAACATTGTTACATAGCTTGATTAGAATGTTAACCCACAAGCACAGTGTAAAGTTCACATTAAAGATACAATCGGATATTTGTTACATAAATGAGTATTTGAATGGTTCATGGTTCAAGACATCAAATACAACAGACGATGAGAGTTTATTGCCCATGCGTTTCGCTACATGCCCGTAATATCATCAGTGAATTTTGATCCGGATGTTCAACTTCCGGTACATCTTTCCAGTGTACAGTTCCGTTATAGCAGTTTCTGCACTGGACTCTCTCCACGACATTTAAACATCTTCCGGATTCGTGGGCATGTATTTCTTTAACAAAATATTTCCAAATGTTCTGTCAGTCTAGTAGTAGACTCTAAACCTCATGTGGTTAATGGCCAGATACCCTTTACTACTGAAGTGGAAGTTAACCACTCTATATATTTCTGGCTTTGCTGGTGAAGAGGACGTCTGCGTTTGAATATGACGTGGGGTGTTTCGGAATTTGTCGGAAACTAACACACTGCAGTCGATACCTATTCTCGGCGTCATGTGTCCCTCCTGGACTACTTGGGAACGTTGTAAAAAGCATGCGTTTCCGAGACCAAGACACCTGTAATATCTGTTTTGGCGTTAAAGCAGAAATCCTACATCTTCCCAACCATTTCTAAAGAACGATTAGCGAAGGAGATATACCCCAGATATATTACCCCAGATATTTCAGCGTATCATGAGGTATCTTAGTGACCAGGGGTTTAGGATTTACTACAAGATTGGCAGAATTTTGGCAACATTTTATTTTAAAACCACTTCTCTATTAGTATCCTTAAAGATGTGTTGAATGTAGTCTATAAAGTTCAGTGCGGAGGCTGTAACAAAGTGTACAGTGGAAATACCAACCGGAAACTGAACATCAGGATAAAAGAACATCTTTCTGCGGTTCGCTTTGTACAATTCCAATATTGTTCAGAAATTGCTCTTCCGACATTCTTTCAGTCAGACCTATGTGTCTGTTACAGAAAAGACCAATCTGAAGTAGGTCTGCTTAATGTTGCGCGCGCACACACACACACACAAGCTGAGACTCTAGCACAGAATCGGAAGCGTTGGAAGCACTGTTTGATGCGTCTGCCTCCGCACCTCGAAAGGGAAGCGGTTATGGTAGATAAATGTGATGTATAATTTGAGTAAATCTAATGCACATTCGTAATTACGTAGTGGAGCATCAACTGTGAAAGTTGATACGATTATAACATCCCAGCTTCGGCTGCTAGTTGATAAAGAGCTTTGTATCAAATTTAATGTAATGCAGTGCAACTAATTACAATTTATTTAAGCTTTCACCATTTACCGGACAAACATGACGTTTGCGATTGATGAAAGTTTTTTCTCGTCCTCAGATCTATCATTGATTGAGATCTGATTGGTCGTCTGATTGCCTTAATGTGCTTTTGAAGCTTTAAGTACTGAGCTTCAGTTGTTAATTGAAAATTAGCTTTGTTATAATTAATTATCTAGTGGTGATACACGACTTCCGACATGCAGCAGTGCCCTATTATAGTGAAAAACAGCTTTTATGATGAAAATATCAGTCAGGAAATGAAGAAAATCCCGTTATAGTGGTGAGTTACCGAAAATGTCGTTTAATGACTTGTTCATCCAATGAAAGAGCAGCCATTTATTTTCGCAGATTTCGTCTCTTTGCATCCAGCAATAGAAATTACAAATATAAATCAGATTGAAGCAAAATTAATTTACCTTCAAGGTACGTAAGTGAAGTACATCCTCTCTCTGTATAAGCGCTGAGTGATGCCAAGAGCTGTGAGGTATGCACTGAAGAATGTGTCAACTGGACATCTATGTCTTCGTAGAAGTCTCCTCCCGCATTCCATGAAAGCCTTCATGGTTTCATTATGGTTGCTCAATTGTAGCGTCTGTGGTTTGCGATTTTCGCTGAATCCTCAACTTTTCTACGCCCAGCTGCGGCGGTGAAATGAAGTACCTCTTTCTCTCCGAAGGCACGTTTACAAAATTTTATTTATGGATTGAGGTTGCTCAGTCAGCAGGGCGTTGGACTCAAGATCGAGAGGTTCCAGCTTTCCGTCTGGATCATCCGTCATTCTTCCTTCTGACATTAATAAATGAGTACCATTCTGTTGGAAGGAAACATGAGACTACACATTCCTATGCTTATCGTATGGATAATGTCGACTCCGTCTTCAAAATAAAGAACTCCTAGCTGATGGCATGGAAATTCAGATCAGCTTTTCGTCGTGTAAATGTAAGAAAGGCAGGCATTGCAAACTTTGTATAATTTTGGTTTACACAAACTCTCAATGATTCACACCTATACTGCCGTAAAGAATGACGACGCAAGTAATTATATCGGTTTATGCGGCAATATTGCACTGCCAATTGCTTCTAGACGCCTTCATTTACGCAGCTCCCTAGTCCGCGGCATTTCAGCATTGTGTGTGCGTGCATGCGTGCATGTGTGTGGCGGGAGGCATCGCAGAAGTAAGTCCAATTATACACGTCTGCGCGCATACTCGAAGTTGCGGCTCAAACAAAAATGCATGCTCATAACACCACCAATAATCCTTGTTACGCGAAGCATTTAATCGTTAAAATATTTAGTTTACACTAACTCTGCGATATAAAATGCCTGTCTTGCAGTTCGGTTTGTTCCTCAAGTTGCCTATTGTCTTCTTCTTTGACTTGTTCCTGCCTCAATCTCCACATGACACCCGCATGGACTGACGTGACGGTTTTATGCTCAACCGGTTTATTGGACAGAACGAAATTCTGTTTTCAACTTTCCAGTTATGATTGTGTTAACGATTATGAAGAGGATGTAGAAGACATTGACAACGACGAGATCCATACTGATTATACCGAGGTTATGTGGATACTGAAGATATTTAAGTGTAGTAAGCATGACTAATGTCGAACGTGATATCTGTTGTCAGTGTGGTAATGATGCTGATGAATCTTTTCAGCATTTTTCTTGAACTACGTAAAGTATGGCGCAATGCCGTTGTTCATGTCATACATACTACATTTTTAAAGCAAGTACAGCGTATAATGCCGTTTCTTTTTTTCGCAGTTGTACTATTTCTGTACGTCTTGAAGTGGATGAAGGGTAATTACCAACTTTATATTCGAGGCTACCAACTGAGCTTTCCTATCTTTGACATGGTTATAACCATGATCATTATGGTATTCAGGTGCTTGATTGGGTTTCAAGGCTGATACTTAGAACTTTTCATTTCTAGTACGAAATGTATTGTATGGCTACACGTCCACATCAGGGATACTTAAAATCGGCACTTTGTAGCTTCAGTGTAACGTTACGGAAAAGTTTGTTGTAATTTTCTTTTGTTTTATTCCTATCAGCGAAAGAATTGATGGTTGTTAATATAGTTTTGTGAGTAGTATCAAGAGTCATGTATTATGCTGTTACCTCCTATGCCTGATGAAAGCGTATGGTATCATATGAGAGGATGTGGTTGGTCATTTTTAGGCTCACAAGTTTTGGACGTCGTTGACTGAAGGCATTTGAATTTTGCGTAGTTGCGTATGCCTTTTTACCATATGCCTGTTTGGATGCCTTATTACGCATATTGCATTACCAGCCATTGTTCGACAGTCGTTTTTTTCAGAGCGCCTTGAAAGTCTCCCGAACGGGGTGCCAAACGCCTTAATGTGAACTGGCAGTTCACATAACCGGTTTAGTAAGTGACCGGTTATTTGAAGAATTCGGCGATATTTGGAATGAGCGGCAGATAGCAGGAAGTAGAGTTTCGACGTTGTCATGTTTTCAGTGTCAGCCACTGAGAACGAACTTACTCAGTTTCGTGTCTATGTCGATGAAATGCTAGGCTTTCAGCTGTGAGGCTTAATGTTACTTATTGACATTTAGAAGATTCATCATTGTTCATATTTCTGCCATTTCGTATTAACATTGACTATAAGTGAAGGTCAAAGATGTTATGAGTCACAGATACGGGAATCTCCTTGAAAAAATTCAGCTATCGGTTTTACATGCTAGTGGTATCAGGCTCGAGTCGTTGGTGCAGCATCATTTGTCTGAGTAATTTCTTTCTGACCGTGAGCGAGCAGGTAGTTTACGTCACTGTGCTCGGATGCAGCCAGCCCAAAGTATGTCTTAAGTAAATGACAAGCCGACAGTCGGGACAATAAAGCGTTTTGAAGTTTTCATGCTGAAGCTTACGGTTACGGCACAGTTTCATCTTCCTCTGAGTAGTATTCAAAGTGCAGCCATGCCTTATGTTCAATATTGCCCACTCGTTTGGTCATGAGTTCGTCATTCGTCATTTTACAGCCTTCAACATGATTTATCAGGAATTGTATATCTTGCACGACCATCTGGTATCCTAACAGGTGATTTCTCCGACATTTATTAAAATTATTATTCACTGGTCATTTATTCAGTGAACTGAAGGTGGCGCAAATGAAGATTTTAGGAGTGCAGTGGTACGATCTGATGTCAAATGTTGTTACGGGAAAAATTATGATATTCAACTAAAGTGACCGACTGGCTACTACGTTTATGACAATAAAGCCATTGTCAACGAAAGCACGATCCCTCATCAATGTGGAGGATCGTGCGCAGCTTTGGCATTCCATTGTAGACCATTGCAATCATGGAATGGATGTACGATGGGACGAAAAACGCTGTAAAAGCCGAAGAGCTGATGTCGGACTGGTTCGAGATCAAAAATGACATCAGAGAGATCGATGTTCTCTTCCGTCTGTTGTTTAGCACATTGGTAGATCACATTCGAAACAACGAAACAACGCTGAGCGGTACTGCGTGGACGGCCTACTACAGGAGAGATGAGGTTCAAGGTATCCGGCGAGATACTTAATTGGCTTAGACTACGCCGATGAAATCGTTTTACTGGGCGACGGTGACGAAGACCTTCACTCATGGAGTGAGGCAATGTTCACACTGCAGCGAAAACAGGCATTCGACGGAGATATTCAGTCAGTCAGTACTGTAGAACCGAATGTGTGCCATAGAATTCGAAGAAGTTCAGTCGTCTGAATACCTTGGCGCCGACATCCCGGACGATGTTAACTGCGAAAATTACGCGAACAGGAGGATTGTGGTGGCTTCATTTATGATCTAAAGCTTTTCGAAAGTCTGGACTGGAAGGAGATAACAATCTCCACCAAGAGCCTACTTTACTGCGTTGCTGCCAGACCAGTTTTACTCTACGGGTTGGGAACAGTTACGTATACTATAGCAAAAGAGCATCGACTGGACAGCGTCCAACAACACTGGTTACGAGGCATGCTGAAGACCCATAGGTACGATCACGTGAGAAAAGGTCCTATTACATCAGCGGCCAATGGTCAAGAGCATAACGCAACGTCTGATGGCTGGAAACCTTCAGGACGATCACGAACAGGCTGGGAAAATCTTAGAATTAATATGACATGGAAAGGGCAGAAGAATTATCAAATGTTTATTCGATCCAAGTGGAATGCTTCTACGGCATCCGCCGTCATCTTCGACGCAATTGGTTGAAAATTTATGCAGTAGTGAAGAAATCAATTGACCCTCTTTATTCAAATTTCGACAAGCCAGTGACATTTCTGTCCTGAAACACCGTCTTTGCTGTTGATTTCGCCAAATTATCTGAATGTCATATTATTTATTACTTTTTTCGTGGTGCCTGGAATTTGACACTGTTCGTTGCCACCAGTCGAGTAACGCATATCAGGTCGATGACCGGCCATAAATTTCAATGGGTCAGATTCGTGTATCCAGCTGTAGTTATGCCACATATTCGACACGCTTTGGTGTGTCGAATTGCAAATCAGGACATGGCTTTGATCATGTGAATTAAAACTAAGAGTCATCCATCAGTTCTGTATGAGTGATGTTGAATGCAGTGCTCTGACCCTCTGCCTCCCGAGCCTTTATCCTGCATTTTATCATTTTGCACGATAATAATCACTTCCGTCCACTGCGCGAATCTTTCTATTATCAGGATTCTCATAAGTGTATAATATTCAGTCTAGACATAATGTCTAAGAGTTGTTTTGTTTTTTAGCTGTTATACCTTCACCATTAATATGCCGTTTCCTTTAGGCTCTGTGTCAGTTTCAACTGCAACACAAGCAGGTGGCGAAACATGGTGTTCAACACGAAGAAAGCTTACTGGCAGAAACTGCTACCAGAGAGTCTTTCTTTCATCAGCAAATCACCACTCTTGAGCAGGAGCTGCGTCAAACGAAGCAGGTATGTCTGTCGCATCTGTCTCCGGGGAAGTTACAGTCCCATTTCTAACATGACCATGGTTTTTCTGTTGTCGTTGTTGTTCAGGAACTTTCACGGACCAAGGCTGAACTGGAAAAGTTACAAACCGTGAACAGCGATGCAACGAACATGGCTAACGAGGTGGAGAACCATAACCGCAGCCTGAAGGAGGAAATACGAGAGCTAAAACACCGCGAGCAGCGTCTGGCGAACGATTATTCTGAACTAGAAGAAGAGAACATTTCCTTACTGAAGCAGGTGCGTCTTTTCCTGTATTTCGTCCTTAGTTCAAGAGGAGTCCGTCTGGAATTGTTTAACTTGAACTTCGGATGACAGCCGGATAACGTTGACTGTACGATTCTAAGATCTAACTTTTTAGTTTCTAATAGTTCATTAATGATGTAGTAGTTTCAATAGTTGTAATGTTTCTAATAATGTTGTTCGTTTGCCGTTGCCGGTCTCAAGCCCGGTTGAGAAAGGAGGAGGGTTGGAGACCGTGGCGAAGTCTCCGTAAAATTTCGCCACCTGTCACTCAGAGTGTTGACGCCATCGAGAATTTTCCCGGGTTACCAAGGGCCGCGCAGACTGTTGGGGCTGAGGCAGACTGCGAAAA